GTCCAGTTCAATGGTACTTATGGAATATATCCCTTGCACTTGTATCTAAATGTTTGTCTCATGTCTTTTCTGTCTCACTGTTTGTATTTTGTATTATTTTCTAGCTTTCTTAATAATATTTATTTTATGTAACTAGATAGGTTGTTTGTGTTAGTTTAGACCTCCATCCTATTCACCAATACATTTTGGTTGTTGTGTTAAACCATTCACTTCTGGGTAAGAACTCTTCATTTACCAAATCATATCAGAGAAATATTATATTTCATAATCTATAGATTTGGTCAACACCTCGGCATGGGGACAGTGTTCCCATGCCGATGGGGACAAAGGCCTCTTCCCCACAACCTTGGCCCAGTGGTTGTGGAGGTCTGCACAAAATAAAGAGACCAGTCTTTTGAAAAATGTCTTTAATTGAACAAAAAAACAAAACAACAGTTTTTGACAAGTTTTGAATGTAACCCTTTAGTCAAAGGGTAGGGGTACAAGTACCCCTTACTCATTCACAATGGGGGGAAGGGGCAGTGGGAGGAATAGTGTCCAATCATTGGTGTCCAGTGGAAGGAAAAGTGCCCTATCATTGGTTTTACTGTGAGAAATAGTGCCCCATTATTGATGTCATTTGGAGGACTAGTGCCCGTCACTGGTGTCAGTAGGAGGACTTGTGCCCTAGCATTGGTGTCAGTTGGAGGACTAGTGCCCAATCATTAGTATCCAGTAGGAGGAATAGTGCCTCATTGGTGTCCTGTGGAAGGAATATTGCCCCATCATGATTTCCAGTGGGAGGAATTGTGCCCCATCATTGGTGTCATTTGGAGGAATAATGCCCCATCATTGGTGTCACTGGAAGGACTAGTGCCCCATAATTGGTGTCAGTGGGAGGAATAGTGCCCCATCATTGTTGTCCAGTAGAAGGAATAGTGCCCTATCATTGGTGTCCAGTGGGAGGAATAGTGCCCATCATTGGGGTCAGTGAGAGGAACAGTGCCCCATCATTGGTGTCAGTGGGAAAAATGGTGCACCATCATTGGTGTCAGTTGGAGGATGAGTGAATCATCATTGGTGTCAGTGGGAGGAATAGTGTCCCATCATTGGTGTTGGTTGGAGGAATAGTGCTCCATCATTGGTGTCAGTGGGAGGAATAGTGTCCCATCATTGGTGTTGGTTGGAGGAATAGTGTTCCAAGGGCAAGATATAGTCAAGCAAAGGGCTGCAGTTTGGAGACCACTGGTCTTAACACTTTGCCCTTTAAAAAATAAAAGTCCATGCAGTTACCTGTACATTGACATTTGCATACTATATGCTGCACAGATCAATATTTAACAGGGGCTGCATTATATTTAGTGAATCCACATAATAATATTATTATTGATCTGAAAAGGTTTTCAGTTTAAAAAAGTAGGAGGAATCAATGTGAGGTACCTAGGTAATTGACACACCATGAAAGGTTGGTTTCCTACTGGACTTTAGTGGACCATTTCTCAGCAGCAGAGTGGCAATAAAGACCTATGTAGCAACCTCTAGTTAGGTAGGGGGAGCTAAACATTTATTTTTTCTTAGAAGGCTGAGTAGCAGCCAGAGAGGAATAGTCAGGAGTTCAAATTTGGGTCAGGGCTGAAAGGATCTGCAGATTAGCTCACTGATACCTCCCACTAGACTCTAGAACTGGGTGGGGGTGAGGAGGAGTTGGTCTGCACTCTTAAGGGATTTTGACCAATCCCCAAGCAGGAGGCTTGGCATGGGTTCAGGACAGCCCTTAAGAGTGGCTGAGCCTGTGTCACGTACCTGATTGGAGACTGAAATGATGAGGTCGGCCTCACTTGTGTCACCAGCCCTGATCCCACTGGAAGTGGAACAGAGGGTGTCTAGGGACCAGGGGGACAAGAGTGCCAGCAGATGTTGTTTGCAGCACTTGCAGCTGGAGTCCTTAAAAGACTGATGGACCACCGATTCAGGAACAGTAGCAATATGCAGAGCTGGTATGGTAGATCGCCAGGCATGCACCAGAGCAAGGCAGGAAGCTGGGATGGGAGACAGGAGCAATGTCATCAACGGGCGGACAGCGAGGTACCAAATCATAAGCAAGCCAAAGTCAGGAGCAGAGCCGAGGTCAGGAACAAGTATCAAGCAGGAGAGTAATCAAGAGTCTGGTCAGGAACAAGCCATGTCAGCAACAAGGGAATCACACAGGAACGAGCAGGAAACAGGGAACAGCTGAAGACCAGTCAGCACTTAGCACAGGCAGAGGCACCTTTTAAATAGTCTGTCTGGTGCCAATCTTCACGTCTATTCGCCAGACGTCTTACGAGAATTCCCTTACAGCCTGTTCCATAGCAGGAGAGTTCGGGTGGAAGATGGAGTGAGTAGGATGGAGTGTGGAGCCTAGGAGGGGTTCCAGGAGAAGGGCCTACCTACAGGTGGAGGAGCTAGAAGGAAGGATCTCTCAGCCTCATCATCTCCTGAGAGAGGACAGCCTGGGAAGGAGCCAGCCCAGCATAATGCCTGAAGGCAGCCACCAACCCATATGCTTGTAGGAGAGGACTAAGTGAGTAACCCCACACCCCCTGGGTCAGATAAGGGGAAAATGCATTCTAATGGGATACCTGATTAGCCCCCATCTGGGACTGTTGATCTTAAAGTGGTTGTAAAAGGTAAAGTTTTTTTTACCTTCTTGCATTCTATGAGTGAAGGTAAAAAACCTTCTTTGTGTAGCATCCCTCCAGCCCCCCTAATACTCAGCTCAACCCCCTCTCGACCAAGCGATGTGCACTGGAGTCTCAGCTATTCCGTGACTCCCTCTCCTCATTGACTGACACAGCAGTGGGAGCCAATAACAATCACAGCCAGTGAGCCAATGAGAAGACAGAGGGAGCGGGCCCGAGGTGCAGCTCCATGTGTTAATGGACACATGAAGCAGCAGCAGCAGGGAAGTGCACATGCTCAAGTGCCCCCATAGCAAGCTGTTTGCTGTGGGGGCATCTGACAGGAGGGTGGGTCCAGGAGGATCGGCAGAGGACCCAAGAAGAGGAGGATCCGGCTGCTCCGTGCAAATCCACTGCACACAGCAGGTATATATAGACTTTTTTTTTACATTTACTGTAAGTCTTTAGAATCACTTTAAGGTGGCAGATCCTGGGTCCTCTTCCCCAGGGATTCCCTCAGGCAGCTGTGTGAAGAGGAGATTTCATCTGGGGTCTGAGGTGGTATGCTAGGAGAGGCTGGATAGCTCTCCTTGGGCATCCCATGTATCATCATTCCCATTTCAAGCTATCAATCCCCGTAAGAAAATCACAAAAAAATAAGTTCAAGTACTGTTTACTGTCTTTGAAGTGTTGCCTGACTGTGCAGGACTATAGGGGGACCCAAATTTCTAGTGACTCCTAAGGTGGTAGTGTTACACGTGCAAGTAGCGAGAAAGGTGTACCCTCTTCTTTCACATATATAACTTTTCTAAAAGGACTACCTAAAAGGACAGGGTCACTTTTTCTGGTAATGAGTAGAGAGGTGCTTGGGGTTGGTCCATATTAGGTCAATAATGTCAAGAGCATCCAGGCCCCTTTGTGTTCATGCTGTCACAGGATGGGAAATACCCTGGCTGTAGATGATTGGGAGGCAGTGACAGCTTCCTTCTGGGTTTGGTCCAAACTGAAGTGGAGAATGTGCTTTGTTTAAGGTGTCTTGATTCTAATGAAAGACAACTGGTTCTTAAAATGATGGTTGGCTTTACTTACAAATAGATATACACAGGGGATTATTTACTAAAACTGGAGAGTGCTACACCAGTTATAGTAACTCTCCCCCATAGATTATAATTAAAAATAGGGATATACTGTACACACATTATAGCAATAAATAGAAAAATGAAAATGGGGATAAGATGACACTGAAATGGAGGGAGAAGGAGAGGGAAAATGGGAGCAAACACACAACAATCGTCTCTCAAATCTTTCACACTGGGGCTTCTTGTGAAATCTTGGGATTCATCCTAAACTGGGTCCCAGAAAATCATATTTTTGATCCATTGTTAAAGAAATCTTGCACCAGAGATCATTAAGTTAATTCTGTCCCTGTCTCAAAGCTCAGTTTTGAACAGATGATTACAGAGGATGACCATAATCATTTTGACTCTAGTATGTATGATGCAATACAAAACAGGTGTGGGCACTAAATACCCCTGGGGGTCCTACTGGTCAGTGTTCTTGATCTCAGGCATTCATTCAGTCCTTGCCGACTGTTAGATTGCTTATCGAAGAGGCATATTTTAGTTCACACCGAAGTTGCACTGGATTTCAGTTTATATCAAATATAACCCCACGTTTGGACCAAACCTGAGTTTATCCTTAAAGGATAAGTTCACCTTTTCAACAAAAATAATAACTGCACATTTTTCTGCAAGTAAAAAAATGTGCATTTATTATTTTTGTCTGCAGGAGCCTGCAAACCATTGCATCTGTGATCAGCAGATCACTGGTGCCATGCAGGTCTCCTGCAGGCCTGTCAATATACCTGCTTGTCCATACGGGATGTACGAGCAAGCAGATTTATTGTCAGGAAGAATCTCCACAGCACCATGGTAGTTCATTGAGGACTACAAGCTGACAGCCGCTAAGGCTGTTGGGACTTGTAGTCACTCATTCACAGAATACTATGAATGAGTGACGCAGCCATGTTTTTTTTAAATTGGACAGCTAGCGAGGAGGGAGAAGTTCCCCCACTAGCTGTCAAAGCGGGGATTGGGGGGGGGGGGTCGGATCATAACATGTTATTCCTAGATTGTAAGCTCGAAAGAGCAGGGCCCTCGATCCCCTCATGTTTTGCATTGTATTGGTATTGTTCTGTCACATGTTCTGTCTCCCTTTGTAATGTACAGAGCTGAGCGAACTATTGGCGCTTTATAAATACTGTATAATAATAATAATAATAATAATATGTTACACCCTGAATACAGGTGTAAGCCCTGGTTCACACTGATGCGGTGTGGATCGTAACATGTTACATGTTACAACCAGGGGCGTACTGACAACTCATGGGGCCCCCGGGCAATAGGGGATCATGGGGCCCCTGTGTCCTTGCCCAAACTCAAAAAAGCCTATGAAAAAGGTACCAGGGGTATCTCATGGGGCCCCCTACTGACCCCGGGTCCTCGGGCAGTGCCTGAGTTTCCAAATGGTCAGTCCGCCCCTGGTTACAACCTGAATACAGGTGTAAGCCCTGGTTCACTCTGATGCGGTGTGGAATTTCCAGCGTTTTCAACGCGAATTCCGCATCGCATCAGAATCGCACCCCGTTCATATGAACTGCTGCGGGTGTGTATGTTAAGTTAACAACACCCCAAAAGTGGTCTGCAAATCTCAGTGTGATGTGCAGAATTGGATCACATAGGTGTGAATACCCATGCGATCCGATTCTAGTGTGGACCCAAAAAAGGGTCCTGCATGCTTTTGGTGGGGGTGCGGTGCGATTAGAGCCACACAAAATGTATGGCTCCAATCGCACTGCACACAAATCGCATGTGATTTGCACAGGAATGCGGTGCGGTTCCTGTGCGAATCACATTTGATATACCGCACCGCATATATGTGAACCCAGTCTAACATGTAACATGTTAAGAAAAGGTGAACTTATCCTTTAAGGCTGTGTCCAGAGCTATGCATAATGTGCATTTTACAATGAAAGATTACAGAGACCAGTTCCTATTCCGATTGCACTTTACTCTCCATCCTATTGAGCAGTGAATGCTTCATAATAAAATAGAGTGTCATCAAAGCATGAGATATGAGTGAGTGACATGTTTGAAATACATTATTTATGAAGTAGTAACATTTGACATTCATCGAACATCTTCCTGGTGCATGTGGTTTATTTGACAGCGATTGAGTAAATATTGGTGAATGTTTGGTGAAAATCACTTTCGCTGCTTTATAATCAAGCCCCGATTTGTTTTTACAGTTCAGTAATGGCAAAACAAATGTTCACAGAGCAATATAACAGAACTATGGAATGACCATGCGGAGAACGATTATGTAAATGATATGCACCATTTCTGTGTGTGTCTACAGGAGGAGTGATTGTTGACTCAGCTGTAGCTCCCCCCTTATATTTCCCCCTTCTATCTTAGGGCACTGAGACATGTTGCTGTCGCAATTAACACTATTCAGAATGACACAAATTACACAGCTGAAGAACAAAGTGAAAGCAAGAGCATGAAATAGAAGGTGGATGGTGGGGACAGAGAAATGACAGGGAAAGTGACTGCAAGAGGGGAATAGGGAGAATGAAGAGTATCAGAATACCATTGGGAAATATATATGGAAGACAATTTGTAAAACATGATACATTGCAGGCAGCCGAGGGGTGAGGCGCCATAAAAATAATATGAATACAATGCAGATCCTACACATCTGAGCATAGATCAGAGTTTCTGACGTTGAGCATACTGTTGAAACATAGTGAAAGGTAATACATTTCCCTGTAAAGCAATTATGTGCGTTGAATTAAATGCTTCATTGTAGTCACACTGCATAAAGCCTGTTAAAGACTGTGGCATGTGAGAAGCAAAGCACAATAATCAACATGTCTGTCTACAGGATTCACATTCATTGTTTAGTGCATATCAGGTGACATATGTTGCTACTATCATCACTCGACACATTGTTGCCCAATTTCCTTTTTTTTTTTTATTAATAAAAATAGCTTTGTGTACCTGTACACACAGACCACAATTGATCAAATATACTATGCTATATCAACTCATAGGCTTTGTTCTCTGCATCGAGCACTCACATGAATCACTGATAGACGCCTCAGTAAAAAGTAGTTTATCAGCTTTGTATGTAGAATGAGTTGCATAGGTGTTCACAGCCTATTGTATTAGGGTGTGCACCCCAAAGCTCAAAGCTGCGAATGGTGTGTGGCCAAATTGTGACCTTCTGCTCTTTAGTTTCCGTGTCACCTCCTCCCATGCTCGCCTCCAGGACTTCTCCTGATCTTCTCCCATCCTATGGAACTCCCTTAGACAATCCCTGAAAACCTTTCTCTTTAACCGCCTCCCGCCCGCCATATAGTAAAATGATGGATGCAAGGCGGTTCTCTCGTTCTGGGAGGACATCATATGACATCCTCCCATTCTAACCGCGCATGCATGGCTCCAGGAGCGTGCAACGCGGCGATCGGCAGTGCGCTGTGTCCCTCGGACACAGCAGATCAATGATCAATGGAAAGAGCCGAAAATGTCGGCTCAGTCATGTGATCAGCTGTGTCCAATCACAGCTGATTGCATGTAAATAGGGAAATGCCGGTTATCGGCATTTCTCTCCTCACGAGCTGTCACGCTGACAGCTCGAGAGGAGAGCCGGTAATCGGCCTCCCTCAGAGGGGACATGTACACTGATCATCAGGGCACCGATGATCAGTGTGCCCTGATAATCTGTGTAGCCCCAGAAGTGCCACCTGTCAGTGTCCATCAGTGCCAGCTGTCAGTGCTCATCCATGCCACCTGCCAGTGCCCATCAGTGCCTACCAGTGCACATCAATGCCACATATCAGTGCCAATCTGAGCTGCCTTTCAGTGTCACCCATCAGTGCCAGTCAGTGCCACCTATCAATGCCAATCAGTGCCACCTATCAGTGCCGCCTAAAAGTGCCAGTCAGTGCCACGTCACAGTGCCAGTCAGTGCCACGTCACAGTGTCAGTCCGTGCCACCTATCAGTGCTGCCTATCAGTGCTGCCTTTCAGTGCCCATCAGTGATGCCTGTCAATGCCCATCAGTGCCACCTACCAGTGCCTTCTCATCAGTGCCCATCAGTGCCACCTATCAGTGTCCATCATTGCAGCCTATCAGTGCCCATCAGTGCAGCCTCATTAGCACACATCAATGAAGGAGAAAAATCACTTATTTACAAAATTTTATAACAAAAACTAAGGAAAAACTTTTTTTCCAAATTTTCTGTGGTTTTTGGTTTGTTTAAGAAAAAAAAAAAAACCCAGAGGTGATTAAATACCACCAAAATAAAGCTCTGTCACAAAAAAAATCATAAAAATTTCATATGGGTACAGTGTTGCATGACCGCGCAATTGTCATTCAAAGTGCAACAGCGTTGAAAGCTGGAAATTGGTCTGGGCAGGAAGGGGGCCCTGTAGGCTAGTGGTTAAAGAAGTCTATCCTGCTTCTACCTAGTAAACTGCCATTTATTTTCTCCATCAGCTCATCTCTCCACAGCTATTACCTTTTGTATCACTCAACCCTTTCTCCTAGATTGTAAGCTCTAACGAGCAGGACCCTCTGTTTCCTCTTGTACCAAAGTGTATTGTAACTGTAATGTCTACCTTCATTTTGTAAAGCGCTGCGCAAACTGTTGGTGCTATATAAATCCTGTATAATAATGATAATAACAGTAGGAGGGACTTAACCACTTGCCCTCCTGAGGATTTACCACCCCCCCCTCCTGACCAGGCCATTTTTTTGCGCTACAGCGCTGCATTACTTTAACTGACAATTTTGCGGTCATGCAATGCTGCACCCAAATGAAATTTACATCCTTTTTTCCCTCGAATTGAGCTTACTTTTGGTGTATTTGAATGTCTGTGCGTTTTTTATTTTTTGCGCTATAAAAAAAAAGCCCGACAATTTGAGAAAAAAAGTATATTTTTACTTTTTGCTATCAAACATGTCCAGTAAAAAAAATGTAAAAAATAAAATTTCATCATAAATTTAGGCCACAATGTATTCTGCTACATGTCTGCTACAAAAAATTCCAATGCATGTAAATTAATTGGTTTACGTGAAAGTTATAGTGTTTACAAATGGCGGTATAGATTCTGGAATTTTTTTATTTTTACTAGTAATGGAGGCGGTCAGCGACTTATAGCAGGACTGTGGTGGGCATTCTGACACTGGGGGGAACTGACTTGGTGTCACTGACACCAATACAGTGATCAGTGCTTAAAAAAAGCACTGACACTGTACTAATGGCACTGGGCAGGAAGGTCTTAACATGTGTGGCAATCAAAGCTGTGTGCTGTTTCAATATAAGCTGTGTCCTGCAATCACACTGCTCTGTGCACAGCCATCCAAAGCATTGTGCACGAGCTGACAGGGAGGTGAACTGTTTTATTTACAAACAGTTCTCCTCCCCATCAGAGATCCTCGGCAAACACTGGGCGCCAGTGAGTAATCACCAGCCGGGATCCGGTGATTGACAGCCGCTGCTGTGAATAGCGGTGCAGGTAGGGCGGTTGCACAGCTTGCACGTGCCCCCTACGTGGAAATTCAAAATCACGTATATATACGTGCTTTTGCGCACCCGTGCTGCCCTGTAGCAGTATATCTGCTATGGGGTGGTTGGGAAGCGGTTATAGGGACATGGCTAAAAAAAAAAAGAAAAAAAAGAAAAAGCCTTCTTGTACCCATAAAATAGGACTTTGGTCTTCCCTCCCCAGTAGGGCGCTTTCACACTGATGTGATGGAGCATGGCTGCAGGGCAGTGTACCCGCAGTTTTCATGTGGGTTAGCTGTGCTTTGCCACCACAGTTTTGGTGCTCTTTTTGAAACCAAAAAACTGAAAATGAAGTTTTTGTGCTGTTTCAGAAATGGGACATAATGCAAGTCTATGACAAAGCTCAGCTAACTCCTCACAAAAGAACGCAGGTACACTGTGCTGCACCCATGGTGCAAAAAATCCTCACCACATTAGTCTGAAAGCACCCTTACTTCTATCCCCTTTACCTGCCAGAAGGTTATAATATTATGGCTGATTGGTGTACAGTGCAAACATTGCCTGCAGCCATACAGCCATAGCCAGGGGTGGACTGACAACTCATGGGGCCCCTGGGCAATAGGGGATCATGGGGCCCCTGTGTCCTTGCCCAAACTCAAAAAAGCCTATGAAAAAGGTACCATGGGCATCTCATGGGGCCACCTACTGACCCCGGGCCCTCAGGCAGTGCCCGAGTTTTCAAATGGTCAGTCTGCCCCTGGCCATAGCATTTGTGGTTCACAGGTACTATGGCTACAGACAGAGTTTCACAGGAGTAGTAACAGTATAACAACAGTTCACCTTACTATAGACAAGACCTTAGAAAACAATTGCACAATATTCTAACGATGCCTGCTGCATACCAACCCTCCAATACCTGATGGGATTACATGTGATCTGAGTACAGCTGCTCTCAACACAGCCCCAC